ACAGTGGATTTTTTAATAACCTTTTCTGAAATTTGATTGGCTAATATCGTCATTTTGACCTTAAAGCGTATCGACCTGAAATACAATTTTTTTCCTGACTTACTACGCCTTTTCTATATATATGCGATAAGGACTAGACACTAAAAAGAAATACTTTGTTGGATTTTTCTGAATAGTAAGTAGTCGTACTAAATCAGAAAAGGATATTTTCATTCCCTAAAAAATGTGTGCGTGTGTATTTAACTGTGAAAACATGGTAGTTAGTCACACATTCTGTTAGGGAAAATCAGTTTATTGAGGCGAAAAAAGGAATCTGTAAACAAGCATCTTTACACTATCATCAGAAGGTGTAGACCAAAATGCGGAAACGCCTTACAGAAAAAAGAAAAACAGACTGACTGAACTCCATTGGTGCAAATAAATCATAAATTGTTTTATACCATAGGATAAAAACTACCTCAAGGTGTTTTCGCACGTATTACAGCAAATGCCACACTAGATTATTCTAGCTGCATATCCAGGTGCATCGGTGGCACAGTGGTTAGGACTCTCCCCGACCATGCACATGGTCCGGGGTTCGATCCGCTGCCGACGCACACCCGATATCTATGGTCGGCCTGCAAAATTTGGGCTACCGATATCCATGCTGAAAATTCCATACTTGTACTGAAAATACGATGTGGCATCAAGCTGTAATCAAAATAAAATAAATGATAAATAAATAATAAAGCGGCCAAACATAACATCTGATACGAACACAGTAAAAAACCACATAAGACGAACTAACTACATAGGAAAATTCAAAAATCGTAATTGACCCCCTACGTCCTATCCAATGAAGTAGGCTGAAATTATGAAAGCCCGTGAAGTTTGTTTTGCCAAAAATTATATACTCACTCTCAACGAATAAATATCATAGTTGAACAGTTCAACCAACTCTTATAAGTAATCCTATCAGATTCCAACCAAAGTTTTGAATGAGACTTGTATTTACATGTCATCTTCAAATGACATTAATTTTGTCAAATATGCTGACGACCTGACTGTATCTTTGCCTGTCAAATGTCAAAGTGACTGCTCCAAACTTAATGGCTTTCTATCAGAAATCAGCCAGTGGTCCTAGGAAAACGGTCTTACCTTAAACCCCTCCAAATGCCAAACAGTCAATTTCACCTTTAGGCATAAATCCGACCTAAACAAACTGGTTAGCTCTCACGAGGTGTGCAACATAGATGGCACTGAAATAGAAACCAAGTCGGAAATTGAACACCTAAGCATCATTCTATCTGCTGATCTTTCCTGGTCGTCTCATATCTTGACGATTTCTAAGAAAATATTCCGTCTTACCTTCTACATGAAGAAGTTAAGACATTCTGGTACAACCCAACCCTTACTCCTACAATTCGTTAACTCTCGCATTCTGCCTATTATTCTCTATTGTTCCCCCTTAGTTTTTCCAGGGCTACTGAAGAAAGACTATAACATATTACGCAGGATGTCAAAGGTTGTCAGCAGGGTAAGCAACGTGCCACTTAATCAGCTTGTTAATATTCTGGTCGACAGGCACATGGGCTCATGTGAAAAATGGGCTAAATCCATTCTATCTAAATCCCACCACACTCTACATTCGCAACTCTCCCCTTGCATCTCATCACGCAAAACCAGAAGCCTATATAGAAAACTATATGCTCGCACCAGCAAGTACAAAAACTCAACCATACCCTACTTAGCTCGTGTTCTGTGCGATAAAGAAAGCATTAGGCGTGACACCTAAAATTCATTAAATAGTCAGTAGTACAACTGGATCTCGTCTTTCCAACTCATATCATTTATAGGTACAACATTTTCTTTCTTTCTTTTCTTTTTCTCTCTCTCTCTTTTCTTTTCCGTTATGTGCTGCTTTGTTTCTTTCTCTCGCTTACGCCAGTAAATATGACAGCACCTACTTTTCTAACACCTTCAAACACTGTTCAACTTTGGCTTTGCTACCGACATGCCAATATGTTGTTGTCATAATGAACTGTGGTTTCCTTAATCTATGTAGAATTTTATTTATTGATAACGTACTAATTGAATGCAATACTGTAGTAAAAATGCTGAGAATTCCATTCTGTATCACAAGTACTGTTTTGGAATAAAGCAATGTATTGCTATTATTATTATTTTGGAAGGATTTCTAGTATATCTGAATGTCATTAGTAAACACTCTTCCACCTAAATCAATATAAGGAATTTGTTGAAATTAACAGGAGATATATAGTGAGAAGTAGACCCTTGAGGGAGAGCCTAAATAGAAGCAGTCGGGATGGATAGTTGTGCACCAGTCACATCAACCAGTGGTGCTTGCTAACCAGCCAGATAGAAGCAATCAAAACACCGGACGGCCAATTCTCTCATCCACATCATCATAATCATCACTGGTGTACTCAGTTTTTGACGCAGCTTAGAGAACCGAATCAGTTCAAACTACCAAATGACTACAATTAGTTTGGGTTTATTGATTAGTCTTCGAACAGGAAGACTGTATGTGTAAAACTTGGACACTGTGGTAGTAAGTAATTCCATATTAGTGTGTTTATTAGATGTATCACACAGTGAGTGAAACAGTATTATTTACTGGATGACACAGTTTCAAACAAAATTTATTGTTCATAATCATTCCATCAATTATAGCCACACGACTTCGAAACTTGAGGTTTACAGTTTTCTTTGTCTTCTCCTATTTGTCGTGGGGGTAGTAGAATTTTCCAGATATCTGCGACAGGAGTTGAATCATTCCTATTACGCGTAGTCTCTTCAGTTGATTCGACAGACAAAGCTTCTGTTATCAATCTCTCCCTCCACCCTGCCGTCACATTAGATTTTGAATCTGTCATCTTATCCTATCCCATCCTATTGTGTGGTTGTGAGTAACTACATGTGGTGCCATAGCTAGCTGAACTATTCTCCAGATTTCTCATCTTATTCGGGTCAACCAATCTAGGTTTTACTAGGTTTTTATGCTCCGCTAGTCTGACTGCACCTGTTCTACTACTTTGACCTGTGTATTTGACCTGAGAATCATTGGAGGCAGGGTATTAGATAAACTAAATTGTTTGCTTTAATTGGCTCCACAGGATCCTTTAACTGACAATCCTTGTTTCTAATTGAGTTTGTGGATTTGAATGCCAGCCACTTTTATTCCTGCCTTGTTAAAAATTCTCCGTGGGGTTCCCTAGGTTCCTTCCTTGTATGGAATTACTACTGATGATTTAGATTCCTTATTGTTGGTGTTGTCATTATCTTGCGCATTTTTGACATGTATGTCGTCATTAGTAATAATATTGTTATTATTATTAATTTTATTTTTACATTTTCCTACATACTTTCTGATTAATTTATCAGGGTAATTATTAAGTTTCAAGGCTTCTCTTATATGCCTCACTTCCTGTCTTAGATTTTCCTTGGTGCTACTTAGTTTTTGTGCTCTATTATTTAAACATTTCACCAATCCTATTTTCACTGACATAGGATGGGATGATCGGAAATCCGAATATCTTTGATTGCACAGTAGTCAGTAACTAGTGTAGTGTGTCTAGTCTTATCTTCGCTGCAGACTGAATTCTATCAGTGCTGATGAGCGGCAACTAGCATGAAACCTAGGTCCAAGGCTTCCTGCCGATTGCCTTCAACCATCTAATACCAACAATCCAAATATCTGTTTGAATGTGTGGGTTTCCTGTAAACACTAGTGTTTAACTTTCCATCTTCTTTCCTTTTTACGCTACAGTCTAACATAGGAAGTTCTTCTTCTTGACTTTCCTAATTCATAAGTGAATTGAATTGCCTCTACCTTCGAGGTGATGTGTTCTAATTACAGTGAATGTGTCATCTACATATCTCCACTATACTGAACGTTCCAATCGCTATGTTTTCCTACCTGTCCATGAATATAAATCTGCCACAACCGGAGATATTGGTGACTCCATGGCAACTTGGTCAGTTTGTTTGTATATTTTTCCTTGGAATTTGAATACTGTGGAAGTGAGGGTAGTACTGCTACTACTACTGTAACAACAGAAGACAAGGACCAGGCAACAGATCGTTTATTAAAGAAAATCAACACATATTTATAGATTTTAATATACATTATTGTAGATTATTGTTAGTAGAAAATACAGCCTTTTGATTGGTTGTTTCTCACAGAAAGTTAACCTTGCATCTCTTTGTGGCTGTGTCAGATCATCCATATGCTAACCATATCCGCCTACGCAAAGCCTTTGTTCTCATTTTCCAACGTTTGTAATACTATTCAACGAATATTTGATTCGTGGTACTTCGGATTCGGAAGTCCTGCCGTTGCTGGAGTCCTGGAAACTATGGCCAACAACACCGGTGGTGCCACACGTGATACTTCGTTGCATGGTCTTATTGCAGAGCAAATCCCAGATCTCTTAAGGATTTCGTATACTGGTCCATCTTCTGACATACGGTCTGCTGCAAGCGATATTCTTCGTGACCTGAAGACAAAAAGGGGTTCAAAATACCAAATATCACTTCACTGTCGCCTAGTTTTATTCTCCCACTAAATGAAATGAAACATATGAAGTGCCTAACTGATGAACCAAATGAAGGGGATCTTCACTACACACTACATCCTATTTCAGGAATACTGGTTCCAGTGGGGACGCCTAAGCAATTATATCAATGTGATGGGGTATCACCCCAGCTGTCACCACACTACTACTACCGGTTGATGTGAGTGGTACACAACTACTCATCTCAACCAATCAGTAGTATGTAACGCCTTACATTTATTCAAGATAAAATCAAAAGTAATACTGATGTATGCAAACGAAGGCTGATCAATCCATAGCCCCAGCCGAACTCATCGACAATCAACGTAAAACTCCTTATACGACTCTCAAAACACCGAATGGTGTTTTTCATTGTAAACTTCTTGTAATTTTTGCCATTTAATATCTAATAATTTTTCTTTTCTTACTCCCTTTATAAATCAGGTTGATCCCGACGAAGCTGATCGTCGAATGAAACGACGTGAACGTAATCGTAAATCAGCGCAAAAATGTCGTGAACGTAAAGTCCAACGTACACAAGAATTACAATCCCAGGTGGAATGTTTACAACTAGAAGCTAGTCGTTTAATGCAAGAGTTGGACAGCTGGAGATCAAGAGCCCGCCAGTGTGTTGCCTTACTACAACATCATTGTCCTGGTGTTGCTATACCCTATTTATCATGTTTAAATGAAACCGTAATCCCAGCATGTATGAACACGTTTAAAGAACCAATGGACAGTTTAACTGAACTCATCACATCCGATAAACAAATGGATTGTTGTGATGATACTGAACACTATAGCTGGAAAATGAAACCATCTGGGAAAACAACATACACGATAAATGAAACTGTTGCTGTTGGCAGTGCCTTCATGACAACGCATGAATCGTCGAATCAACTACTTCCACCGATGGATTTATTACATTCCCATGCAACACCGAATAGATCAAAATCTTTGTTCACTGTGTTCTCATCAAACAATAATAATAATAATAATAATAATAATAATAATAATTCTACTAAAGATAATGACAACCAGATATTTACAACAACACAACAGAACACAACAATAGAATCCAGTCAGCTATCAATTCTTAAACAGGACAATAATCATGATATCTCAGGGTCTTTGCTAATTCCAATGTCAAGAAGTACTTCACAGGTATCTATTCGAGGTCCAGCCTCAGGTTCATCATCATCATCATGCTCGACTTATGAATTATCATTCCCTTCATTAGACAATCATCATTCTCATTGTTTGAATGAGACCAGTAGTCCATTTAAAGACTACTCGACAACAGCATCATCGTCATCCTCTTCATCACAAACTGCCAATCAAGTTTCAATGATCAATTCCAGGGGTGGTAGATCACGTGTATTAAGCGGACAAGAGCTATTGGACAATCAGTCATTAGTGGTTATGTCAAACAAATCAATTTCACTTGCCAATAACAATCAACAGCAACACAAACAACAAACATGGAGTCTGGACTATCATGAAACATCCGGAAAGAATCCTTCTTCAATGGAGTGTTGCAGTCCATTATCACCGCTGAACAACAACAACAACACTGCAATGACGAGTCAACAATTACAAACCAGTAAAGATTATCCTATGAAAATGGATTCAGAGTGTTACGACCAGTGTAATAATTCACAAAGGTTGAATAAAGCATAAAGAAACATGGATGGAATAGCTTGACAGGAAAATTTACGGTGTTACCCATTATTTATATAGACTTATTATCCCACACTCTGTGTTTTTTGCACGCTAGCTTCAATTCGCACCAATCATTACATAACCATCTTATCACACAAATCATTGCGTATTCATCTTCCTTCTCACCATTGTCTTCAGGTTTTTTTTTATGTCACTTTACAAAATACCCGCCTTGGTTTTATTGTTGTTTAAATTCTTCGTCTTCTTTTGAAATTGAACATTGAATTTTCGTTAGGGATATTCAAATTTATGCATACACATTTATAGTTCAGGGAATTTGATATAGCCACATCACAATATTTCCATTAGGTTGTTTGTTTGTTTGTTTTTTTCATCGAAAGCGCCAATTTATTTATACATATATATTTATAATCTCTAATCTTTCTAAAAAAAAAAGTTATTAACAATGACGACTATTTATTGATACTACTACTAATGACTGAAATGTTGTCAGTAGTACCAGGTAGTTAGTCAATTTTTGATAATATCTATCTATCTATTTATACGTTAATTATAAAAAAAAGTTTCCGGTGATGACGGGCAGGTATTCATACTTACATACTGACACAAACACACCCATCCACACCTTTTTCTACAGCATTTTGATAGTTCTGTTTTTCTACTTACTAATTTTTAATGTTTAAGTTATTATCATTATCATTATTGTTTTTAGGCATTTTTCTCTCGAAATTATCCCGATGTTTGATACAGGCTGAACAATACATTGAAACAAATGAGTGGCCGGCACACGAATCATTACACACACACACACATACATACAGACATGGCGGTGTAATACACATCTCTGACCAAAATGGTGAAGATGGCAATTCGTCATCTTGGCGGAAGATCAATGCTGAGAGGGTGATATTGTGCTACTACCGAAAATATTAGTAGTAATAGTAGTAGTATAAAAATTAACGTACCATTGAAACCGGTTGTTCATCACTTAAACAATGTTTATCTCTCGGTTGTTCTGGCTTTTACAAACCACACTTTTTTTTAACAATAAACTTTTATTTGGAATTTTTCTACAAAAAACAACGTCAGCATTGTCATTATTGAATAATCATTCTCATTTAATATCTTTTGTCGTTCATCTTTATAATTTTGTTTATACTAAGTGGAATATAGATACACATATATTACATTTATAGTGTGCCTAGAAGCGCTCTACTTCTTTATATTATCCATCCCTACTGATTAATTGATCGATTGACACCAACTACTCAAATGAGTAATTCAGTAGTTTATCAGGTTGTACTAAAAACGTAACCCGCGTGCTTTATTATTATTATTATTTAATTTTAGTCTGTTTTGTTACTTTTAATTAATTAATTAATTTGCATAAACTCGTACTTGGCGTTTTTTTAATTTACTGTTTTTTCTATCGAAAGTGAGCTGCATTTTTTGTGTTACTGTCATGCCTTATAAATTATCAACATTATTCGTTATTTTCTCGGTTTCTTGCTCATGTGTTTCGCTCAATTTTTTCTCTTCCGTTGTTTAGTTTAATTTTTGTTTAAATTTTATCTCATCATTTATTAGATAAAACAAAGAATAGTGATATTTCACCGCTGACAATATTAGCGCTGAAGTTTCAGGTTCGTAGGCGGCGGCGGCGGGTTGGGAGGTACTCTTTTTTATCTCCCTCCCCTTATTGTGTTAGTAACTTGCAGTGATTCATTGCCCTGCCATTATTATTATCATTATTATGATCATTTTCACCATTATTTAATTTAAGTGTTTTAACTTTTTGTTATTTCCAATCTATCCTTCTTCATCTCATTTAAATTTGGCTTCCAAATTTTAAAGTTTTCATTTAAACAAAATCCACGGTGAAGACGACATTACCAATAATATTAACAAAATTCGAATATTCCTATTATCATATAATTAATTCATTAATTTATTTAATCATTTTATCAATTATTAATAATAATAATCATTAAATAAATATTCATTTATTCACTAATCTTTTCGTTTTAAGTTTGTACAAAAAGGATCTAGCTTCATTAAGTTTGAATAGAGAAGAAACAATGATGGTTTGTTCGGTATAAGATATTACCATCACTTATATTGTCAGGTTTTCATCAACTGAATACAATATAAAGAATTAACTAAGTATATATACAGAGAAACTTTAATGTACTTGCAATTGGTGATATGATGTCAATTAACAGAAGAGGGCATACAACCAACTATCATCACTGTTCCCAACCAACAATGGGGTTAGACAGGGTTGCCCAATCTCTCTATTTCTCTCTAACTTTGCCATCGATGACATTCTGGAGTCAGCTCTGAAGGATGTGCGTGAAGGTGGTGTAGATCTGCTACCTAGAGATCGACTTTTCGACCTCAAGTATGCAGACGATATCGTCTTACTGTGCGATAGCATGCAGGCTGCCCAAATCGCACTTAATCAGTTGGTCATCAGTGTCTGTAAGTATGGTATGTGCTTTGCACCATCTAAGTGCAAAGTACTGTTACAAGATTGGCAGAAGCCTGTACCTGTACTCACTCTTGCGGGTGAACCGCTTGAAGTTGTTGATAAGCTTGTGTATCTGGGTAGTTGTGTGAGTGCTGGCGGAGGGGTGACGGATGAGATTTCCAACCGTATAATGAAGGCTAGGGTGGCATACATCAACTTGAGCCACCTCTGGCACCGTCGCGACGTTAGCCTGGCTGTCAAAGGTCGGGTATACAATGCTTCGGTGCGGGCTGTCTTGCTCTACGCCTGTGAAACCTGGCCTCTCCGAGCTGAGGATGTGCGGCGACTCTGCCTGTCCGATCATCGTTATCTCCGCACGATTGCTTGCGTTCGATGGCATCATCGCGTGAGTAATTCTGAGGTTCGGCGGCGTGTGTTTGAACACAGTGGAGATCACCATTCGTTGAGTGTCGTCATCTGGAAACACCGGCTTTATTGGCTTGGACATGTGCTGCGAATGTCATCCCAGAGGCTTCCCTACAGGTCTCTGTTCGCTAGCCAGCCCTGGGACGGGTTGGAAAAGGCGGAGAGGTAGTCAGTCCATGACATGGCGTCGTGGGATGAAGGATATTTGTGCTAGATTAGCATCGGTCGGTGCGTCACGACTCCCTGGTTGGGGTCCGCGAGATAGCTCGAATCGATGGCTCGAAACGTTATCGGATATGGCCAAGAATCGTAATCAATGGCGAACGTGTTGCAATTTCCTTCTTTCTTCCCTTCCTGATGATAGTTAACGAATACTGTTTGAACTTGTTAAACATGACTGTTTTCCTTCCAGATGAAGTTCTTTATCTGTTTTCTACTTATATTTTTACTTTTAATCTATGTTGTTTTATTATTATTGTGTGGCGCATATTTCTTGGTGCCATATTGTAACAAGTTTTTTCTGCGCTTAAATAAATAAATAAATAAAAATAACAGATGACTTCACAGTCAGTAAACAGTGCCTAGAAATTACACTTATACACAGAAGGAAAAGGAGTTGTATTCAAGAGGCAAGCGTTGGATAAGTAGATGATAAGTAACTTATAATTTGAGTAGTAATATGGTGAGTTCAACTCAAATCACAGGAACAAAAGATAAGCAAAATTACGTTATTTTCAGGTACTGGTTTGCAGGGATTTTGTTTGATTGGTTGGATGATTTCATTATCAGCTGACATCGGTTAGAGAACCATTGGAAAACGTGGGATTACTGGGCAGCATTTGGTTCGTCTCATTTTGGGATGAGTCCCAGTGTCTTAATGGTTTACGAGTTCGCCGTGTAACCGACCATAAGGTCCTGGGTTCGAACCCCGCGGTGTGGATGCGTTCCGATGAAGAGTCTCAAACAGTTGTCCAGTATTCCGGTGCTAGTTTTCCAAAGATTCTCTAACTGATGTCAGCTTATGATGAAATCTCCCAACCATAAGTACGTTATGGTGAAAGGGAGGGTGGAAAAGGTCAAAGACGAAGATTGAGTAATCAAACAAGAAGCTGAGTAAATAAATGGAGTTATCAGAGCAAGGGAAGATCAATAGCTAAGTCTTCCTGAACACAGAAATCGGGTTTCAAGCGTTTGAAACCAGTACATTTGAGCTGTCTGGCCTGGATTTAACATAGAACTTGGCACCGAAGTGCAATAGTTCGAGTTGACACGTACCAAATAGCACACAAAGGTAGACAAGAAAATGAGTGAAGAGAATCAATAGAGTTTTGACAAGTATAAGAGTGAAACAGAATGAGTAATGGTGGAAAAGAATATGAAAGATTACAGAGACTGAATACATCTGCGTAAGCCATTGACAACGATTTTGAGCCATGTCACCTATTGTCTGTCTCCAACCATTGATTCTTAGAGTCCCGAGGGCGGGCCCCAACCCGGAAGTCTGCATCTCCCTACCTGACTCAGTTTAACTGTCAAGGAAGGATTTCATGGATTGATTGATGTCATGTTTTTGTTTGGCCACCACTTACTCTTTTCCAACCTGCACCTATATCAGCTAGTAATGTCCGTCTGGGTGGGGGAGGCGATGGCTAGGCATGCGCAGCACGTGGCCTAACCATCTCAATCTATGTAACTTCATAGCCTCTTCGATTGATTTTCCCTCTTTGCCCAACACTCTACGCCTAACGTCAACATTACTTACCTTATTATACCACCTAACGTGAGAGCACACTTGAGCAGGACTGTACCAGTGTATCTAATAATTTTAAAAGATTTCAGGAATATCTGTCTCATGACCTGATTCAAAGAGATGTTTCGCAATAGCATTAGTGAAGGTATCTTTCCCCTTTAGACGTAGGCTTCATGTTACATGTTCACAAAAACGAAGGTATTATGCCTTTCGTTCTATTCTGCCGATATAACTGCTATCGCGCATACATCTAAATTTGTATACGCCATTAGAACTAATATATGACTTAAGTTGAACTCCCCATTATTATTTATTATCATTATTGTTTCCTTTAATTCCTAGAGGAACATA